CTTGCTCAAACATTTAAAGCATTTTTGTCTTCTTCCAAAGCATATTAATGCAAAATTGAGCAAACATTTACATATATTTATTATATATTGCAAACAAATGCGTTTGCAAATAAATTCGCTACGATTACTGATTTCCTATTTATAAAGGTGTCCTTAGGCACTTGTGCAAGATATCATCTGACATCCAAGTCTGTGGTCCAAAAATCTTTAACGACGTCTACTCGAAATTGAAAATTGAGCTTTTTTGTGCCCTCAGCACACATCAAAACACTTATTTATTTGCATTACTACATGTGACAATTGTTTATGTAAAAATTGTGGCCTACGTTATTGAAGTTCTTGGATGGATTATGTATGCATTTCTACGTTTTAGACATTAATGACTGCACGATATATTATGTAGTATTATTCCTCTGTTTTATACCTAAGGTATGATATAATATTTAATATATAACATTGTGTAATTGATATAAATTTAAATTTTACACTCATCTACTACGACACGCCTGCGTTAAGCAATATGCTACAAATATATAAATATAATCAGTACCTTTTTTAGTAAAGTTTATGGTCTGACAAAATAACATTCACACTTGTTAACAATCCCTAATATTCTAGTAAGATGGTCCTTTTCCAGTTTATTAGTCAATAAAAATCAGTTTATCTAATTTTTAACGGAACAAATTAAACAAACAAAAGTTTGGGTTCAATTTACGCCTGGGATGAATTCAAAAAAAGGTGTTCGTCCAATTTACGCCTGGTATGACCTGGTTTTGTCCTAACATTCCGGAATGAAAGACTTTTTGCCGCCTGCGCAAGAAAATGGTCAACCCTCCGATAACGCGGTGAGAGTGATATGAAAACCGTGGTATAAGAATAACAGATTTAACGTAGAGTTCAGATTAATTTGTAGCGCGTTGTATAGGAATCATGGTAAAAGAAATTCAAAAATAGTACAAATCACATTATTTGTATCGTATTATAAGCAGTTCAAAAAATACAAAAGGTATGATACATCATACATTGTTTTTATTGAATTGAACGGATATATAAAGATTTGATAAAAAATAGAAATTATTTTTCTTGAATTGAAGAGTTTATATAAAAGTATGATACAAAAATGAAACAAAAGCTAACCTGAAAATTAAATTTTCAACCAATAATTTTCAAGCAGTATTTTTTTTAGAAAGACTAACGTTTTGTTAAATAGGTCTGACACTACTAAAACCGATGTTGTGCACAGCTATGATATAAACTGGATATTTACATAAACATATTGTAAAAAATAGAATAGCCGGTATTCAAACCTTTTACAATATCTAGTTACTAAAGTCATTCATAGGTGGCTCGAAAAGAACTTATGGACTGCTGAACGAAAACCGTGTTATAGGGATACCGTGTTATAGGAGGGCTGTCGTAATTCAAACTCTGCGTAATATGTAAATTGTGTTCTCAGAATACCCAGGCTGCGTCTTTCAATTTGCTTTCGATATGAAATATTTCATATTTAATTTACCAGGACCTATGTAGTAATAAACAATGTGCTTCAAAAATAGATTTCGAGTTAATTTATGAAAATAAAAACTTTACAACTTAGCTCATTTTTTGTTACCAGCGTTATTTTTCATTTCAAGAGCTTATTTATGATAAGGATGATAATATAAAATATTTTGTACAATTGTGAGTCCCTGTGTTTGTATTTCCTTTGGTGCATTTTATGTGAAAATATTTATGCGCGATTTGTTTATTTCAAGAAATTCGATATTTAATAATGTAATGGGACTATTGTTTAATTCTCCTACTATGACTATTGCAAATACACATATAAAATTTTACTATCTATTTTGTTTTTATTAACTCTTTCGCTACGAGATCACCTTGACGACCTGTTAGTACGAGTGTCGTCCATAGACGACATCCAATGCGTCAACTATTGCTTCAGTATTTATCACTATGAGTTAAATTGTCAATGCAATTTTCACTTTTTAAATGCATTTTTATTGATGACTAGAAAATTTTGAAATACTTGGGGGGCTTGCTTGCTCGTACAGCAGTGTCACTTGTGCGGAAAATACTCCCGTAGCAAAAGAGTTAATGAGTTTAAAACATGGTATTCCATTTTTGTGCAAATGGATAATTGATGTAGTTAGTTATTGTTATTGCAGCAAAGTTCTAACAAAGGTTTTCCAAATTTTATGGTGCAGATCCACACATTTTCTTTACTGATAACAATAATTATTAACGTGCCACAAAATTAGCTTATTAGTAATTCTCAAAAATCGAACCATAAAACCTCAACTCCAGAAATTGAAATTTTGTATTTCATATTTTTTATAATATATTGATAAGATCATCCTAAAAATTTGTACCAATATTCTCCAACTATTTCTTCTTTAATACTAGGGACCGATTCTGCCGCATAACAGAAAACTGTTATGGCAAGGCCATGTTACGCTCCAACTTCCATACATTATGCTACTGAATCATACTGAATACTGTTGCAATGCTATATATTTGCTGTACATTCAGGAATTTAACACATAAACCTCACCGTCACTTGTATGTTATCAAGCTGGGTCAGAAAAACCCTGTTATCTGAAATCGTTTTTTTTTGACATTTATGCGGTTAGGTTCTCTATCTGACAACCTGAAAAATGCGCCTGACTGCACAGCAACTAGATGGCTTTTTTAAATATTTACTATGGAAAGTTTTTCATAACATAGCCTTGCCATAACATTAGTCTGTTATGCGGCAGAATCAGTCCACCAATCTTTTCTACAACAAAGCTCCTGAATTTTACTATTAAATATAACTTATGGTTGGATTTTTGAAAACATCCTTACTAAATATCAAGGTTAAAAATTACAATTAACAAAGATATAATTTTTTCTGTAATTTGACATACTTGGATAATATCTTTGCTTAAATTCTCATATTTTATTCCACGTGTTAAAGATTATTCTAATTCATTTACAAAATAACATGCAATAAATTGCGTTTTTGTAGAAACCTTTAAATTCATGCCTACTTTTTTCGACAATAAAAGTTGTTTGGTATGAGATGTATGTTTCCAGTTTATGTACTGTTTTACATATAACTCCTATCCCTGTAATTAAAAGTTTTATTCTGTGTTTATGATACATCACAATATAAATTTTAGCTCATTTTTATGTGTATATCTTATTGAAGCCCAGGTGAAAACTATCCATATTTGGATATCTAACTAATCCCAAATAGAATTTCTCAATTTCTGGGCCAAGATGTGTTTGCATTACATATGCATAGTACAATTTTAGATCAAAACAATTTGCGCTAACAAATTCCATAAAATCTGAACATTATATCAGATTTCTGGTTATACCTGTTTTGATCATTTCAGCATAAGTCTAAATCTATATTCTTACAATTAATTTACTTTATTAATTATTTACTTATTGAATTTTTAATACGTAACAACTTTTAACTGGCTAAATTATTTGCATCGTATAACCTTAATAATTAACATAAAATTTTTTAATTTTTCAAAAATTATTCGTTTTATCACCTGGTTTTTGATATGTCACTTATTAAAATTGCAAGCATATATGGAAAAAACTTTGTCATATATGCAGCACAAAATAAGGTGACCAACTTTTTATTAGAGGATAAAATGATAGAATTGGTTAGATAAAATTATTTTTACTTTATCACCTAATTTTGAAACCATTCCAAATGCTTTTTGAGTTTATAGGTTGTTCGGATTTTTTTTTACTTCTAACAGAATAGAATTATTTTTGAGCCATTTGAATGTGAAAAGTCCTCCAAATGTCTAAAAGATTATGCAGTAGTTCCTGGTTGATTGTTTTAAAAAATGTTTTAACTAATGTAAATCTTCTAAATTATTTTTGAATTGATAGGTTCTTCGGAATTTTTTTGTTTTCTACTAACAGTAAATTTAATAGGATTTTTGGGTCCAAAAGTACGAAAGTCCGAAAGTCCTAGCAGTAGATTTTGGTCAATTCTTTTTTAAATAAATACAGTAGGGAATTTGAAACATTTTATTATACATTAGAATTTTTCTAGAAAACAAGAATAACAGAAATAATTTGGCTAAATTATTAATCGATGTGGTGGCAGCAGTATGACTAGTTAACAAAATTTTGATCTCAATAGTAATATCAATTTTACTTGAAAAAATTAAATAAAACTAAAATAAACTAAATATGATTTCAAGTGAAATAGAAATTCACACACCATTTTCACGCCATTAGAAATATCTGATAAAAATCTAATCAGAGAAACTGGTCAATGACTGGTTTGCCTCTCAATAATGTTAAGTTGTGAGGAATCACATTAAAATAGCTCATAGAACGTATAAAAATAGCTTTGTTTGCTCTTTATAAAATAAAATTAATAAAAAACATGGCAAATCCTGAATTGATCCAAGATCTGTAGAAGCTGGTGAAAGCATATGTTAATGCAACCACATTTGCTATCGTCAACCACTAATTCCGAGTTCGGTACCCACTTTGGTCAGCTTAGTGGGTACTGAAATATCGAAATAAACTATGATAACAAGTCAGAATAGCCTTTCGGGGGCATTGCTGCAACACTCATCAGTTGAATATTCTCTATCTGATGAAATTTTTTATCTACGAGTTGCATTCTAGAAAAAGGACTTACATTACAACAACTCATTGTTCAGAACCAAAATTGATACATGGTACCTGGTAAATAGAACGCATTATCCGAACAACCAAATACTTCTGCCAAAGCCACAACTATATCTTTAAAAAGAGTAAATAATAAGTTTATTAATTTAATTATCGTTTTTCAATTGGCCACCTTATTAATTATTGAGAGAGTTATCACGATACACCTTATAACATCCATTTAGAAATATGAGATAAATACAACGATCAACTGTGCACTTGGTGCGAAATGAATAGAATTAATTAATTGGTCTGCGGCTTAGAAGCGACATTTTTTTGTGTGGTGTGTGGTTTATATATACGCTGGTTTATCAAATTTATATTGGTTTCTTGTCGTTTCTGCTGCGTTAGCTGAAAGCAGCCCTTAGGAAGAAGGCCATTGATATCAGTGCTTCCATTGTCGTCATCTGTCTTGAGGGAGCCGCGTTGCACGCGTCGGCGTCGTTGCAACTCTGCAGGCAGCCGTGGACATACCTAATAAAAAAAAAAAAAATAGTGAAAAGAACTAGTGGTGCATGGCATCGTGCTTTTTAGGCAAATTGCTGGAACTTCCCGTACCAAAAACATTTTTTTTGTATTTTTTTGAAATATTTGAAAAAATTCGATTTTTGAGAATTTTAAAATTTTTGAAAAATTTGATTTTTTGTTTGTTTTGAATTTTTCTCAGAGTTTTTAACATTTTTTTAAAGCAATCGTGTTGCATAGCTGTTTTAGAGTCAAAACCCAAAATTTGTATTTATTATTATAATCTCTTGTAATATTGAATTAAAGTGTGTTGGCAAGTTTCATCAAAAGCTGGTGCATTTAACCAGGATCATAGATAAACAAGTATAATTGATGTTGATCAGGATTGTATAATGGTAAAATACTTGATGGTTTCATAATAAAAGAAAGAGTAAACAATTCCTGATTAAATGCTCAAACCTTTGACGAAACTTGCCCACAAAATTTAGTACATTTTTTTAAAGAATGGATTTTACTAAATTCATATTTGTAAGTTGGGATTATTTTATTCAGTGTATTTAATGTAAAAATTAATCTCATAAGATATATGCAATGGTGAATTAATACACTTTAATTAATATTTAATATTTTTATTTACAGCATGTTCCTGTGCTTTGTTATAGTGATGGTTGACAATTACGAGGTAAGATTTTTTATTTACTTCTATTTATTAATAGATGACGGCATTATAGACATATAATATTCTCTATGCTTAAATTATAGGGGTCAATTCCTCGATAAAATAGAAATGTTATAGTAACGCTATGTTACGGGTCTTTATTCGTATCAATTGGTAGTAACGAACTGTTAAAAAGCTATGCATTTGCTGTGCTTTCATACGCTTTACACATTAAACCTAACCTACAAAATGCACAAATAACATAACAACTTTATCATAATTGCATCTTTCTGATGTCTCATTGATAACACATACGTGAAGTTAGGTTTTAAGTAGAAAGCTTGATCGCACAGCAAATACATAGATTTTTGACAGTTTCATACTACTAAACATGAAGATAGACCCGCAAAATAGTGGTACATAATATTTCTATTTTATCGGAAAATTGGCCCTAGCATTAAATCAAACTTTGAAATCAATATCGTATGGGTTTGTCTAAGTGTTACAAGTAACAATTACTTGCAACACTTTGACAGTCAGTATCTCGATTACAATTTGAAGATTGTCGAAGTGCTCGGAAAGTTTTGAAACTTGTAAATCTGAACATGTTCCATATATAATGTGGCAGATGTTAAATCTTGACGCATTCTGCGTCGTCACATGGAAATATCTCATAGAATAACTATAAACTATACTTAAAATGTTTTACTTTTTTAATGTTACCTGTCATCGTAGTAAAATCTTCCGCAATGTGACATCCTGATTATTTCCGTGTCCGTTGTTAAGGTTCCACTGTCCAGAGCGCAACCTCTGACTGTCATCCTTTCGCCAGTATCATCTATCAAATATTACACAAAAATAAGAAATTTATTTTATGAAATTTAGTATTTTTACCTTCTTCAGCAAGTCACAGATTTTTTCTGGCATGGTATTTTTTAGCCGAACTGTTTCGCATAAAAATTAACTTAGATGTGTCATTTTGCCTTGGGGCAAGTTGCATGATCTTTCAAAGTAGTAAATAATAGATGAAAAAAATTGGGATTTAGATATTTAAAAAAAAATTCAACAGTTTATTTTCTTTGGACTTCAACGGCGATTTGTACCAACCTCAGAATGGATTATTCACAGTGTAGGTCCTAAGGGCCTATTATTTTAATGACTCTATAAATAAACTTGACTATAAAAATTAGGAAACCAAATCTTTTGTCAAGTAATTGAGCACGTTGTACTAAAATAATTTTGTACACTATAAAAAAAACAAAAAAGTAAGAAGCGTTCTAAAAATATACTGCATGTCTGTTTACGTTAAATTTTATGTATGTACACGCGACGGTTGGTTTAATTTTCGTTTCTAATTCTGTAAGACATTCAAAGTAGAAGTAACACTGGTAAAATCTACTTATTGCTATTAATTTATTATGTTATTTATTTATCATATTCTCCACGTTTCATTCTGAATCGTTTGACACCAAAATTGAATAAAAAATGTATGAATGTGAGCCAAAACTTGAGCTTTCCAGAAAAGTAAACCTGAAGTTCTCCTTGTTAACAAAACATTGCTAAATTTTTTAATCCACGTTTTGAACTGATAACGAATATTAAAAAGTTGTTGTTAAAATAATACATAATAATTAATTTCCTGAAATCATATACAGAGTATCCCAATACTTAACGTCAAGCTAAAACAGGGTGATAATATTGATCATAACTATCATGAAAAAAAAAAATAGAAAAAGAGTTGAGAATTGTGCTGATTAGTTTTTGGTAAAGATCGGTCTCGTCGTTACTTCTAAATTAATAGTTGAAAGTTTTTGAGGATTTTGATAAAACATAGTCTGGTTAAGGAATAACCTAAAATGTGATATTATAAGCTTACAGTGAGTGTTTAATTATAAAATTTCATCGACGGTTGGAATAATAAGTCGCGACTAAATTTTAGAGCATTTTATCGTCACAATTTGAATAGGTGCTAAATCTAAGGTGACCATATTTTTTTAAGTCAAACCGGGACGGCAATTTCCAGTTAAGCTAATCTTAAAAAAAAAAACAAATGCTATTTAAGGATTCAATGAAAACAGTTTTCTTATATGAATCAATTTTTTTTATGATTTTTTTTTATTTTATATTTGATTTTATATATGATTTTTGTAGAAGTTTTTTCTTCGATTATATGTAATACTTTTTTATTTAGGACATAAATTTTATATTATATATTATATTTTCTGAATTATATGTTTTTCTCGCTTTCGAGCCTTGTAATTTTTGAAATTCTATTCAATTTTCTTCATAAATAATCTTAAAAAAATAGCATAAACGAACAAGTTTGTTTTCATATTTTTTGTTAATTTATCTATTAATTTTTAAAACAACTGTGACAATCCGGGATAAATATTTTTTTTGAAAAACCCGGGACTGTCTCGGTCAAACCGGGACGTATGGTCACCTAACTAAATATGAATTCTTATTAAGTCGAGTATTTACAGATATCCGTAAGTTCATGCAACTTGTATCAAATTCAAATACCACTTACACCAAATTTTTCACTGAGTTCTCAAAATAACAAAATTACTTTCTGAGCACCCCAACACATTTTAAGAAACCCTGCTTGTCCTGATTTTTCAATCGTTTCTCGATGCTCCACTATGTTTGTAATATAAAAACTATCACCGATAATGTTTTTTTAACGCGACTCACCATAAACGCCAGCGATCTTTATGCAGGACGTGGCGGGAAATAGTCCGTCCCTGCCCTTTCGTCCTCCCATGCAGGGACTCTCCAGGATTCCCGTCGTGTAATTGTTGTGAAATGGGTCATCGCACTCGACATTCGCACCGTTCATCGATACACACTTGAAACAGTCGATGGCTCCAACTAAAGCAATCAAAGTCCATTAAGTTCGGTAAACAATTTGCGATCAATTCAATAGAACAATTCAATCAAACAATGAGCAAATCCTGTAATGCGCGGTAAATTACAATTATAAAGCAAGTATAGTGTATCTTGAGATACGTTGATTATATTTTTACGAAATGAAGAAGGATATATGCTGAGACTATTCCTCTACCGAATCCAGTAAAAATAATTCTATTGTTCATTATTTTACAAGTATAAGTCAAGATTGGAGAACCATCCAAATGAACTAGCAAAGGACCTACTTTCTGCGAACACTGTCAAGAGACTTAGAAGATTAGATCCATTAGACTTAGTATAGTTATATATTTAGTATAGTGCTTGTAATTATTCTCACATAATTATATTTATTATTTGCTTGCAATTATTGTCACATATTTATATTTATAATACTAACTTGAAATACTACCAATGGTTAACGCGAAAAAGAATCAAAATATATATCAACACCAAACTCACATATTTCAATATATATATATATATATATATATATATATATATATATATATATATGTGTATGTATATATATATGTATAGTAAAACATCGTTAAGACGATTTTCTAAAATCAAAAACGCGAAAAAGCGTATTAAGCGGGATACTGACAATATGTTTCAAAGTTCGGGGACCGGCGTAAAGTGGCATATATAAAGTTTATGGGCGTTTTATATAGCCAAAATATTATAAAATATCTTATATAATATTGAAGTGCGTTTCATTGCCCATAAAAATTACATCAAGGTCTGCGATTTTTTTGTTATGAGAAAAAAACATTAAAATATTTGTATATATATATATATATATATATATATAGATATTTATACTAATAACGTTCTGTCCCAAAAAAGCGTTCGATTCAAATTTTCATTCGATTTGTTTTCAATAAAAGTTTGGCGATCGTGGAAACATATTACAGCTGAGTCCCAACATATGTATCGAAATTGCTTTTTTTGCATGAGAATTTTTCCACATAAAAACTTATCTTGTCTCTGCTGAATAAATGCATAATATCGGGGACGATCTGATTTTCGTTTCTCGATGGTAATATCATGTTACATTTCTATTACCAGAACGAAAAATGTTACATATAGTGAAAAAGACACAAAGATTGCAAGAGCCTTACAATTTTTTATTTAATGAATTTTTCAGAAAATTAGCGATTTTGATGTTAACTTGAAAATTTGAACATCCATTCATTTTGAAAATATTATGAATAGCACCTGGTTCAATATAAATATTTTGCGCGCATGTAGCTTTTCTTGTACATAGCTTTTAATTGGGTAAGTAGGATGTTTATAATACATTTCTATTTTCACATCGATCATTTTATAGTCAGTATGAACGTCATGTTTCTAAAAATATATATCACGGTGATTTAGTTTTGGAAACGTTTACTCACCTGACTTACATAAAGTTCACAGATTAAAGAAAGAAAAATAACCAACACCCATGTTCGACAAATAATTGATTACTTCAAAATTTGTCATGACTAAACATTTAATCCGTGTTCAAATTTATTCGTAAATATATTTAAAAAATCAATTAAATTGAAATCGCCAAATGCAGAGTTTCTTGCATATATACTGTCCCGCAGACCGCCGCAGTAAACAGAAGTGTGCAGCTGCGTCAATTGTGAGAGGTAAATAAAATTATTCTATCATAAAATTTCGATTTCGGTATTGTTTTTGACTAATTTCAAATTTTATAAATCCTATTTCGTTCCATTATCAATCAATCTTTGATAATGTGTAATAATTTTTGTAATTGGTAAATTGTTAAAAGAGTTACCTTGATTAATGTAAAAAAATGATACCTGGGGTTAGTTGAAACATACAAGAATTATATACACCTCTCACAAATGACGCAGCTGCACACTTCTATTTACTGCGTCGGTCTGCGGGACAGTAGTATGACAATATTATGCAAGAAACTCCACATTTGGCAATTTCAATTTAATTTTTGAATATATTTACGAATAAATTATTTAGACATGACAAATTTCAAATTAATCAATTATTTGTCGAACATGGGCGTTGGTTATTTTTCTTTCTTTAATCTGTGAACTTTATGTAAGTCAGGTGAGTAAACGTTTCCAAATCAAGTGAAGATAATTGGGTGAATATAGAGTTCCTAAGATTTGGTCACATATAAATTGGAGACACTAGATATTTTATTTATATTAATCGTAGTTTACATTTATTAAAAGAATTGCTTAGAAACATGTCAATTTTAAGATCAAAAGTTACAACAAGCCCTTAGCTCCACCACCTATTAAGTTTTTAGTCATGACAAAATTGAAAATATTTTTTTTTAACATTGGTGATGGGTTATTTTTCTGTCTTCTACCTCTTGTTTATGGAACAAGATGTTCCATCCATGACTACTGTGTCTCTAATATTACAATTTCCTACTAACCTGGCAGAGTGAGGTAATTCGCCGTCGCTATAAATATTATGAACCATCTGTATACCTTGAGAACAGCGTTGCCAGTCGCCAATGGTTCGAACATTTCTCTTCGTTAGCTGAAATTGAAATCATTAGATTAACTCGAGCGGAAGCAATCAATAGCAAAACTCACTATGTCACGATTTGGGCATAGGAGTTACATCTACCTACTACGAGTACGTTGATTTACTATATTGGAAGTTTGACTGAAAACTAATCGATCGAAACTGATAACCATCGGTTGTGAGACTGGGAAACTTTGGGAATGGTAATCATCTATCGGGGATAGATGATTGAAATCATATGCACGTCTGATTTTTTTTAACTTTCCAAAGGATTTTGTATGTATGTGTTTTCCAATAAATGCAATTTGGTTACATTTATGATTTCTCTCAAGCCACTCTGAATCTCATTGAATGAACAATTGACTTTCATTAACTTCTTCTTCAAAAATAGCCACTCAGCTTCTTGATGCACCAATTTCAAGAAGACTGAAAAAGGAGCTTTCCAAAATAATATTGAGAATCTTTAGCACTACTACACATCCTTATAGAAATGAACAGAATTGGTGAATCACTCGTTGGAGTGATCTCCAACTACTATCGATAAACTAACCCTTTCCACTCGCGAATTCTGAGATTTATATGAATTTTGCCGGAGCGGCGGCATCCAAGTGGAAAGGAGAAGAAAAAAAAAAAATGATAAAGCCAAATAGCTCATAGATTGTACTGTATTCTGATTGCCGTTGAAAATAAAAAATATATATAAAAAAAATTATGCAACCGAATTCAAAAATGTAAAACCAATTCGATGAATCTCGATAAGGACTCGCGTTCATTAGTTTTTCGAGACAATCAGACTAGCCGTTGTTTACAATTAACAGAGAAGTTCAAAAATTTTTGCCCTCATCTTTATCATAAATTCTGAAACTTTTTTAAAACTTGCTCCAAAGATATCAGATGGGAATCTCCTTTGATGTTGATGATCACCTTTTGATGAAATCCTTCAGGTCGTTACTTTACAATAATTTGTTAAAATTTTTGTTTACAATTTCATTGAAACTTTGCATAGTGATACAGTTTGTGGTCTAAGTGTACATCCTAATTTGATAGGTCTACGAAACGTGTTTAATAATTACAAAAGTTTATTAAAGTTTTGAAATATGAGCTGCGGCTGCTTTTTATGGCATGCACCAGTATGTTCTAAATGTTGTGTTTGTACAGTATAATTAACATATATAAATAAAAATATCAATTAGAAATTGCTCTGATTAGTTTTTTTTGTGAGATGTGAAACTTTGTTTTTTAAAATAGACAGTTGAAAATTTTACTACAGTCGTCACAACATTTTACTACATCCTAATTGCTATTGATAAGTCGATTATTTACACATATGGGAAAATTGTCTGAAGGCAAAATGTCAACCTAGTTTTTTTTTTTAAATCAGAACTTAAGAATATTTTTTTTTAACTATATGTGGCTTTTTTAAATGGTAGCTATCTATCAATTATTTTTTCATATTTTCATTTTCACTTGAAAATATAGCTCAGAAATATGTTTCTAATTAATAATCGCACATCTCGGGCACTGAGGTGTGAAAATGGCAAATGGAAATCTCTCACACTATTCTTTTTCCTGAATCACGTTGGAAATTAACCCAAATCATGGACCTGCCCTAGGGCATTACTACCCATTATTATTTATTTTATATATTTATGTGTGTGGGTTGTGAATGTGTATTTGCAAAATTTTTGCGATAAATATGCTCCTTATTAAGTTTTTTTTTTAAATCGCATTCATTAGGAATTTCTTTATTATAAATACACTAGGGTACTATTGAAAGTTTTTCAATATATAGTATATCAGTACAAATTTAATAACTCTTAAGCATTTTACGTTTTCTACCTACTACGAAAACTTTTTGAGAGAACTTCTCTGATAATGGGAAAAAGAAGTAGATTTATGTGCTATTAAATCATTTTAATGTGAAAATATAACATACAAGCAATTACGTTTATCGATGTTCTTCTTACTGAATTTACTTCAAACTTTTACATTTAGCACACCATTATTGAAACTCTTAAGTATACAGTGTGTACAAGAACTTCTAGTCAAGCCGAAAATGGGTGAAAAAATTAAAAAATATCGAATAAGAAAAAAAGATCTATGCTAGTGCATTTTACTCACAATCAGTTCAAATATTCAATGCTCAAATGTTCAAACATTTGATCTGAATGTAAGTAAAATGCGTTAGCCGTTATGGTGTTAGGTTTTTATATTTTACTCAAAAATTTTCAATAATAAAATTATCAAGTGTTTCACTATTTTACAATCCTAATTTAATACGCCAACTTTTGTTGAAACTTGCCAACACACTTTAGTCCATTTATTTTAAAGGGAGGGTCTCTCATAGTCGACTGATTTTCAATAATTTTAATTTCACCACAAATGGCCATCATTTTACCCAAGCTCTAAGTTGCACTTAAAAGCTCATAATTTCATAACATCGTGAGATAATCTTCTAACTTCCTGTAGGGTAAATCGCAAAAAACCGAAAATGAAATTTTTTATGCATGTTTACGTTTTAAAGGTTTTGGAACATTTTGTCTACGTGTGTTTGTGTGCGGATACAAATTTTCGTCAACGATGCTTTAAAAAAAGTTCAAAATTTCCAAAATATTTCAAAATAAAGAACATTTTTTAAAAACATTTTTTTGCAAAGAATTTTTTTCACAAATTAAAAATTACTCAATAATCTTTTTTTTTCAAAGTTTAAAACAAATTTTAATCTTATTTAATTATTTTTTTGTACGGGAAGTTCTGGAAATTTACCTTAATTAAGGCACGATGCCATACCCACTAGTTTTTTCTAATTTTTTTCAGGACAGTTAAGGTCTATACCAGAGGTGGGGAACCTTTTTGCCGTTAGAGGCCGCACTTAAATTAGGCAGCAATAAAAGAGGCCGCATAAGCTGATTGACCTAAAAAAGTGACTTTTGTGAAAGTATTATAATTTTTTTATAGTTTTAACAATTTATTGCATTATATAGATAAAAGTAAATAAAACACTTAAAAATTTTAAATATTTTATAAATTAAATTTTAAATGAATTATAAATATTTTAGTTCGTTTTAATTTCATTTAAAAATTCATTTTTTGTATAAAAATGATATTAAAGTGTTTTGATTTGAAATTGATTTTCATTTTCTTATTGTTACATAACTATTCGAAATAAGAAATTATATATTTTTCTTATACCAGTGAATTCACTGATAAATTTTTATTTTGCAAACTAAGATGTTAACGGTTAATTTAGGGAATTTCGGGCTTTGAAAAAAGCCAGATTAAATTCATTTGTAAACTTTCGGTATGAATATTCCTTTTGCCATTAAGGACAATAGTTGTTATAATAAAAAATAGGATTAATGCATTAAACGCATCGTTACCTCTTGCCAAAAGAAATATACCTAGACTAGACACTATTGACAGACATTTAAAAATATAATTTAAAAAATATTATTAATAAATGATGTACCTAATCTATTTAGAGAATGATAATGTTAACCCATAAGAATAAGCGTATTATTTGATAATGTATAAACTCATAATAATGCACGTGAAAGAAATATTTTAATTAAAATATGTATTTATTATGCACAAAATGTATTGTTACTTTATATTTTGCATTTAGTTTTAGTTCTCATTTCAAAAACCTTACTCTATATTTATATTTCAAGATTTAAATATAAATAAATTCTATATATTATGTGCATATAAATACAAAAATTTATTACGCATTACATACTATAAATAGTGGTGCTTGGCATCGTGCCTTAAGGCAAATTGCTGGAACTTCCCGCACAAAAAATAAAAAATAAAAAAAAGAACTTTTTTTAAAGCGATCGCCCTGCTTTAGCTACCTAGAGACAAAATAAAGAAGCGCGTAAGCCTCGCAAAATAACGCCTCGCAGAATAAATAATGATACAGAACCCATAGTAAAATGTAAACAAAATGTATACTGATTATTAAAATATATGATAATTTGATGTGCATATGTTAAATGATCTTTTTTGACCGCCAAATGTTTCTTTTTCAAATTTTTTATTGGGCCATCGAAACCGCTAGACCTGCCTCCCACAAATTTAATCCGTTCTTCGTTTTGTCTATACATGTAAATTTCTTTTAATGATATTGGACGTTCCATTTTTCAAAAACTGAATTATTATTTTTGGGGCCTGCTTTTACCAATAACTAATCAGCACGTCTCGCTATCAATAGGAATCGGATCATTCAAAGAAAATTTAATTTTAATAAATTTAATACATAAAAGTTAATAATTTACAAAAAAAAATCGAAATATGAAAAAAAGGTTTCTTAAATTCAATTTTCATCATTTTTCAAAAAAAATTAAAACTTTTTATAAAATGTAATTTTCAGTACGGAAAGTTTCAGTAACTTGCCAATTTTTAAAAATATATTTTTGTGTTTTATGAAAAAAGGTATAGTTTTGTGTCATTTTATAACTATGGTCTCATAAAATTGCCAATATATCTAGGTAAAATCTGGTTGCTCCGATCTCCGCCAAAGCTACGGATTTGCTTTTGGTTGCGAGAAGTATAAATTTTTATCATTTTACTACGGATACGCATAAAAATCTTCAACCCGGGTGCTAACGATTCTTTTGCACTGTTAATTTTTTTTCATAATACTTCTTGTATCATATAATAGGCGATGTCTTGCGAAATCGAAAATATTGCTTATATTAAATAATATTAATATAATATATTACATCTCTATTTCGTATCTGCCTAAGAGTCTGTTTTTCAGGCTAGTAATCTGATGTCATGTTACAATATGTCTGTTTTTGGTGGAATTTTTGTACAATAGTTGTTTAAAAGTAACTCTGCTATTTTGTACTAGACGGCAAGGGGCCGCACAAAAACCTCCCGGAGGCCGCATGCGGCCTCGAGGCCGCGGGTTCCCCACCTATGGTCTATACTATCATCCCATTTTGGCTTGATTGTTAACTTCTGAGACACCCTGTATATATATATATATATATAT